GACAATGATGCTGACGGGTGATGATGATTACGACTATGATGATGACGATGATATGATGCCGATGCTGATGACGGGTCATGATGATGATAATGATGATGATAATGATGATGACGACAAAGATGATGATGACGACGATGATGACGACGATGATAATGATGACGATGATAATCATGATGACAATGATGATGACGATGATCATGATGGCGATGACCATGATGACGACGACGATATGACGATGATGATGACGATGATGACGATGACGATGATAATGATGACGATGATGATCATGATGATGACGATGATGATGATGACAATGATGATGATAATGATAGTTCATGATGATGGGACCGACAATGATGCTGACGGGTGATGATGATTACGACTATGATGATGACGACGATGATATGATGCCGATGCTGATGACGGGTCATGATGATGATGATGATGATGATGATGATGATGATAATGATGATGACGACAAAGATGATGATGACGGCGATGATGATGACGATCATGATGATGACGATGATGATGATGACGACGAAGCTGATGATGACAATGATGATGACGAGGATGATGAGAACGATGATGATGACAATGATGATAAGGACGATGATGATGATGGCGCTGACGATGATGATGATGATGATGATGATAAATATGATGATACTGATGATGATGTGCATGATGATGAGACCGACAATGATGCTGACGGGTGATGATGATTACGACTATGATGATGACGACGATGATATGATGCCGATGCTGATGACGGGTCATGATGATGATAATGATGATGATAATGATGATGACGACAAAGATGATGATGACGACGATGATGACGACGATGATGATGATGACGATGATAATCATGATGACAATGATGATGACAATGCTGATGATGGCGATGACCATGACGACGACGATATGACGATGATGATGACGATGATGACGATGATGGCGATGACGATGATGATGCTGCTGATGATATGTAAAACCACCAGGAAAACGAAGATGGGGACCCACCTTGGAGGAGAGCTCCACCTTGGCGACCTCCGAGGCCTCGCGGAGCCGCTGCAACGCCAACTTGTCGGAGCCCAGGTCGATGCCTGCGGAACCGTCGGAGCCGTCGGAATGGGCGGCTGCGCGTTGGGTTCGGTTTGTGGTCCGCAGATCCGAAGTGGAGAAAAGTTTCTTGGAAAAGCGATCTAGGTGCAAATTCTGACACGCGACTAGCAAAACCAAAAATCCGCATCCAACGTGTTGGCGGCCGTTTGAAAAATAGATGGTTCTGGTAAATGGAATAAGCCCCATCTAAAACCAGTGCCATCTATTTTTAACCAAACCAACCGCAAAAGGACGCGTATGGATCCAACGTTTTGGAGACAAATCCCTTGGAAAAGCAGTTGGGAGGTTGACCAGGTGACCATTTGACCATTTGTTGACCCATTGGGCAACGTTGAGAATTCCGCTGACACCCAGATGTTCCGTAGCCCTCTGTTGGCTTCTGCCCCTGTTACTTTTTGCGTTTTCTGGTGGCAAACGAGTTGGAATCTATTTGGTTGGTTGACTCGGGGTGTGAAGTTGATGGGTGAATTCAACTGAGCTTGGTGAAGTTAACTTTCGCCGTGAAGTGACACAAGCGGGTGTGAAATTGCATGGGTACCCTTTGGTGGCAATCCTTTAGGGGGGTTCATGTCCACCAACCACTGGTAGTTCCCCATAGAAACTTTCATAGCCAGGCAACGGAAGCGCCCAGGGTACCAGGGAACCAGGACATGGGATTCAAAGAACCCCCTTTTGGCCACCTATCGCAGCAGCCCCCCCCCCTCCCAGATGGTTTCGCCCCAAAAAAATGGCGAGGCCGTGAGGCCAGTGCCTCAGAAACGTGGTTCTGAAACGAAACCATCGCCCTGGCTGAATTCTGAAAGCGGTTGATTTGGGACCTGTCTCAAAATGAAAGGACCCAACTTGGATGGTTCTCCTTTTGGCTTCAGCCAACCTGCACAAGGGTCCCCTCAAAACAAGAAAGATCCATTTCCGTGACTTCAGAAGGAAAATGTTAACCCCGGACTAATAAACTCCTGGTTGATTAATGGAGGGGTGACCCCTTTTAGTGGGAATTCATCACTTTTGGAGGGAACACCCCCCTAATAATGGGACGGGTTTATTGGTGAACATTAACCCATCAAGGTATCACCGACGGCAAGCCAAAGCCCTCCAGACTCTACCGTAGCTCTCCGATTTAGCTGCACCCCTCGAGGGGGTCTCGGCTCTACGCAGGGGGCCTATCTGGGCTTCAAAAGCCAACGAGAGGGTTCAGAGTTAGGTCTCAAGAGTTGAAAGGCTGGTCATCCACCCAAGATTTCAAAGTGGCTTCATTCAGAGGTTTCTCCGATCTGGATTGCCCACAATTTGGGCGCCTTCTTGAGGGGACACCTTTTGGTTCTGTTCGTACAGGGAAGCCAAAAGAAAACTGTTGCGCCAGTTTGTCCCAACCCATTTGGATCTGTGAGCCAATTTGGGTCTGGCTTTTCTGTTAAGACCAACCCATTTGGATATATATATATACATATTAATATACATGTATGTATGTGTGTATATATATATATATGCATATGTGTATGTATCTATCTATATATATATATACATGTATATCAATACAAAGTTGGGCCTTGGGATTTCTTGAACTCGTCCACCAGGTACTTCACAATGGCGTGGTCGAAGTCCTCTCCTCCCAACGAGGTGTCTCCGTTGGTGGCCTTCACCTCGAAGACCTCAGCGGGCAACGATCGGTATGGCAAATGGCATTTTTTGTTGTTTCTTCTCGGGGTCCCCTTGATTTGGTGGTTTGGAAGGGGCGGGCGCCACAAGAAACACCAGAAATCCATTTTGGAGGGTTCAAAAAAAGGCACACCCCAACAGCGAGTGTCTCAATCGGAAGGCACAAGTAAGTAGAACCGCTACGTGAAAGCGTCTGGTTCTCCAACTGGCGTGTCCAACTATAAGTCACCCACTTGGAATTTGGACACACTATAAGTCACCCACTGAGCAGCTTCATATTTACACAGCACACTAAAGCCGCTCAGTTCAAAAGGCCTCAAGCTACGGCCAAGGACTGGGAACACAAAGCCAGTGAGTCGAGACAAAGTGGTGCATCGTGCGCTCACAACGTGTCTGAAATGAGCAGATAGAGTTGGCCTTAGTAGAACTGCAGCAAATTGGCTCCGAATTCTTGGCGAAAATCGATTTTGAGCCTCACAGAATTGCATGGATGATCGAATCAATTGCATCAGGCAGCACCTGCAAGGGGTTGTCAATTGGTACTCAAAATGGCTCACACGAGGGCACTTCAGGTACAAAATGGACCCTTGGAGGGTGGAGGCGAGCTTTGATCAAACCCACGCCAGCTTTTGGAGCAAAAGGTTCAGACCCCAGATCAGCATCTGACCTCCTGCTAAATTGGCCCCAGAGTGTGGCGCAAAAATGGAGACACCTCCGGGCCTCCCGTGCTTTCACGTCCTCTTCAGGACATCTTGAAGATTTTGAGGAGTTTTCCAGGGTATCAACCCAGAGCGCAAAGCCCGCCTAGACTTGGTGAGTAATCAAGTCATACGAGGCTTGCCAATGCTAGGCAGTGCCAATGCTGGGCACAAAGGGGATTTGCACGCTGTTTGCAGGAAATTCCGGGCACATGGAACAATGGGAAACCAAACCAATTCTCTGCCCTTCAGGTTCGGTCCTCATTACTTCCCGAGCTTGGTCAATCAGAACTAACACTTGTAAAAAATAGATAGTATTTTAGAGGGAGGGGGGAGGAAGCCCAAATTATCTCTTTCTAAGGCTTAAGAGAACCCTTATGTGGGGCTTGGGGCTCCCTCCCCCTCCCCTCGCCCCCACGCCAACAAGAAAAACTAGTAAGTGTTTAACCTCACGAAGTCCCGGGCACTCCCCCAGAGATCTCCAGGATGGAGATATCGAAGGTTCCACCTCCCAGGTCGTAGACCGCTAGGATCTGTCCGTCCGAGCCCTCGCGAGTGCCGAGCGCAGGCTCCGCGGAGTTGTGTGTGTGTGCAGGTGTGTTGGTTGTTGAGGGTCGGTTTCAGAGAAAGGGAAACAATCAGTTTAGGGCCCTAGGACACATACCCGCAAAAAACGGATGGATCAAAAGCAAAACAAAAACAAAAACAAAAGGAACACATGACCACATTTCTGCCCGAAGGAGGTTTAATAATCTTGTAAAGGCCCGGAAAAGCCCGCAACTATAGGAAACTTGTAACTGCTTAGGTGAGCATTGCTTGAAGTGATCTATAGCGATAGATCATTGACACTGCTACTGAACCCAAATCTCCAGTGGCCATGGCAAACACGGGCACCTTTTTTCGTAGTTGACTTTAAAGAGAAGCTTCCTGCAAAGAACAGGACCAGAGGGGCACTATTGGATGCCTGGCGGAAAACCCGGTCTTGAAGTCTGGCTGAGGTTTCAGCATCCCCGCCTTGTCCATGCCAAAGGCCAGTGCAGCAGCTGTGGGCTCGTTGATGATACGGGGCACGTCCAGGCCGGCAATCTTGCCCGCGTCCTGTGGCACATGCCGAGGCGTCACAGCCTCGCTTGCCCAAAGGATCAAAGGCAGCAGGATCAACCGCGGCGGGTTTTGAGTGTCTAGGTTGTTCATCTCTGGTAATGTCGACCCCGGAATCGACGGGGTTGAATGGGACACCCCCTCGTAGTTATCACGGGGGTTCATTGATCCGGGTTCCCAGTACTGGAGTGCTGAAATAGTTTCGTGCAGACTTGTAACATTCAAACAGTTGGCCCAAGCTTTTCCTGAAAATACAGTCTGCCCTGGTATACCAGTTATGGTCAGTCCCGTCAGAGATGTCCAAAATTCTTACACTTCGGCTCGTGCATGTTGATCTAGCACAGAATACAGATGCAAGAACCCAAAGTCAAGCAAGCAAGCAAGCAAGCAAGCAAGCAAGCAAGCAAGCAAGCAAGCAAGCAAGCAAGCAAGCAAGCAAGCAAGCAAGCAAGCAAGCAAGCAAGCAAGCAAGCAAGCAAGCAAGCAAGCAAGCAAGCAAGCAAGCAAGCAAGCAAGCAAGCAAGCAAGCAGGATCGAGCGCCAAGCCCGAACAGTGAATTCCCTAGTGTATCCAGTGCTCCGGTCGCTTTCTCCGGCTCGAGTCTCGAGTCGCTGACATTATGGAGCTGAAAGCGCTTTGATCCCTAGCCCAGGGGGCAGGGAACTTCAGACCGTTGACCTCTGGTTCAATGGCCATGGGCTTAGGGTATCACTCCAAAACTTGCAAGGACCTGCATGGTGAGCTCGCTTTGCCTGTGTGAGCCAGCTAGTTTTTGTTCGGGGTGACTTCAACGAATTTTCGCCACGAGAAAATTGTCCGATTACAGGAAGCCAAAGGCAACTGTCCGAATGTTACTCTTGGGGTGGGGGTCTCTAGCTTTGGTGGTCTCCAATAGGTTCGGGGGGAAAAAACAACTAAACAAAAACTGCCTCTTGTCAGAAAAAGGATGCCAAGGAGGATTTCCCTTGCCAAATACGCGTTTGCTCGTTGGATTGTGCTTTTAGGATACTCATCCCGGGCGGCTTCTGCTATCCATCCAGCCATCCATCCAATGAAACCTCACGAGGGGTTCCGGCAAGAGTGAAGGACCCCCTGAAATATTCATCAACCATGGGCGTATTCATCCGGCGCTCCTTTGTCCAAAAACGAGGAACCTTCCAAACCGGCTCCTTTCAGGGATGAAACCCAAAGCCCCCCGCCCCCCACCGCACCTTAAGAAACCAATACCCTAAATGAACGTTGCAAATCGACCCCAAGTGTCCCTCATCCCCCCCCAACCCTCCACCCCCCCGCCCCCCCCCCCGCCGCTGCCTTGGTCGCCTGGCGCTGAGCGTCGTTGAAGTACGCGGGCACCGTAACCACCGCCTGGGTGACGGTTCCTGGGCGCGCGCCAGCGGGCGGAGCTTCCGGTGGCTTTTCTGCTGGTGGCTTTGGAGATCCCTAAGTTCCTTCCCAAAACTTGCTGATGCGATGAGTAGGGAATGAGGGAATGAATTCGGCATTTCCCTCAAAGGAAACCACAAGAGATGGATTGCAAGGTTTGCAAGGATTTCCCTCATTCCCTGCTGAGCACCAGCAAGAAAGCACTGGTTGATTGCCTGGGAACCAGCAAAATGTTTCCCCTTTTAGCATCACCCCACCAAAAGGATGTTCAAACCATCCGGAAAAGGCGGACGTATAGGGACGCTGGGTGAGGAAAGCCGAATTGATGTCTTCTCTCTAACAATGGAAGGCAAAAAATGGAAACTGTCTTCCAAAAACGCCTGTCAGCTTTGTCAGGAGGTTTTTGGAAGACAACCTTGCTTGTGCCTTCCACTGCTGGAAAGGGATGCAAAAAGGATGTCTGAAAGACAATGCTGCCACCAAAACGACTGGCACATGAATCTCCCCAACTCATCTAAACGTGGCTATGATGCTTAAACAGAGGCCGAAAGCTCTCTGATGTCCCCAAGTCCTGTATCCAAACCGGAGAAACCCCTTTACGCGGCTTCCCTGCAGTTTCCCCCATAAAACCATGCCGAAAGGGTACCCTCAAAACAAGGAACACGTAGCACATCCCGCGATGAATCCACTTGCCCTCGCGAATCTGACACAATCCCCTGGGCCTTCAAAGTAAGACTCAAGAGTCGTGCAACAAATCATAAAGCCCGCACGTCCTGGGCTCCTCCCAGAGCACGCAACATGGATTTAAAAGCCACCGATTTCCGGATAACTTTTAACGACCTCACTGAGGGGTAAAACGAGCCAATCTGTAATGAAGGTTCTTGGGGATTCCTGATTCGACAATTCCCAGTTTAGGCATAATAATTTGCCATGAATATTGAATCCAGTCTGTCACGTTCTGCATGCTGAGCCTCCCCTATTTTGCCAACCCAGAAAAACCGTTTTGGCTGAAGCAGGATGGCTGTTCTTCGAGATCCAAATCCCACCCTGGGCCCAAAGCCAAAAGCATCCCATGACTTCACGAAAGCCTTCCATCTTCTCGGAAACCGAATGAACAGTTGTGTATTTCCGGAAGCCACACCAGGGAGAGTCCGTTTCATTAATCATAAACGGGTGTTGCTAAACCTGCGCTGCATATGACGGTTGTCTGAAATTCCTTGTTCCGGAAACCGCCATCTTCGCGAGAAAAAAATTAACTTTCGCGGACCCCATCGCGGAACTTTCGCGGGGCTGTTCTCAGAACATTAAAAGTAGTACACGAAGTACACTTTCGCAGCCCCAGCTCGAAAGTCGCAGCTCTTCAGTGCGAAAGTAGTACTAAAAGTAAACTTCCGCAGCCCGGCTTGAATACGAAAGTAGTACACGAACTAAACTTCCTCAGCCTCGAAAGTCAAACTTCTCAATACGAGAGTAGTACACAAAGTGAACTTCCGCAGCCCCAGCTCGAAAGTCGCAAGCTTTCAGTTCCAAAGTAGCACGCGAAGCGCGCTTCCGCAGCTCCAGCTCACAAGCTGTGAGCTACGCACGAGAGGACCCGTTGGCCTCATGTCCGGAAACTGGCGGGGAGGTCCGTTGACTTTCGCGAAACTTTCGCGGATCTTACGCCAAACATTCGCGAAAATCCGGCTGGAAGTTCCGCTCAACTTGCCCCGACAGCTTCAAAACTCCCAGAAGCTGGTTTTTGCTGGCTGGGGGTTGCTTTTGCAGCGGCGTATTCTTGCGGCGACCCTCAGGCTGCGCATTCTCCAACCAACTTTAGTCTGCGGGCATTCTGCGCGCACTGTCGGTAAATACACATGGTTCATCACTCCAGCTTCCTGTTAGCAAGCCACACAAAACTTTCGCGGAACAAAAATTAACTTTCGCGACCCCCTTCGCGGAACTTTCGCGAAGGTCAACGCTAAGACCAAAAGGTCTTCCCCTTCATAGCTCAATACAAGGACCTTTCGGACGACTCTCATATATTGTTATGTTGCACGCGGCCAGCCCAGACCTTTCATTTGATGTTCTCCAGAACCGAACGAGCTTTGAAGGCAGGATCAAGTGCCAGAAACAACTTTGTGCGAAGCCAATTTGGAAATTATGCATGATGAGCTTAATCCGGAGAAGAAGAAAAAAACGCAACGCCCGAACAGTGCCTAGTTTGCTCGATGAGCTAGACTTTGCAATGATGTACCTTGCTTGCACCCTTCAGGCGAAGTCCACTTTGTTTGGACGGCTGAAGTCAACCATCAGGGACACCTGGGGCCCTAAAGTGTGGATCTTTGAGGGATAGTGAAGGAACACTACGCATTTGCCATTGTTGTGCCACTCTTCCTTCCGCGTCTTGAGTCCAAACTCAGCTTGTTAAGAATTGCCACGGCTCAATCTGTGAGGTGCGCGGACATGTTTGCCAAACCCACTTAGTCTACCCTAAAATCGAAAATACTTCGGAGGCCGCCCCGGTGGATTTCACCACGTTCGAATCTGCAGGAGCATTCAATGCTAAGATAACTTCCGTGCTTTCCTGGAAGCCCTTTTTCCAAACAAACAAATAGAAGGGAAGGACATCACCGTTTGGTAACTGGGCTGTCCTCAGATCTCCTTCTAAAAGCATAACTTGTCGTTTGTTGAATAAGAACCCCCACTAAACCCTAAAAGCCTAAAAGCCTACAAGGAGCTTGGAACCGCCAAGTTTACAGAGACCAACCCCACCCTGACGGACAAACTGGCCCAGACAAGTCGCTTCCCAGGTACGCCTCTGCGGTCTCCTGGCAACATGCGCGAAACGCATTCCCGGGGCGGCGGACCTAAAGTTGGCCCAGCACCGAGGCGAAGTTCGACTTTTCACTTACCCGCCAAGAAACGTCCAAATGGGTGTCTTTTTTGGGAGGGCCAAAATGTTGGTTTTCCTTTTGTGTTCCCCTTAAAACCCGAACAAAGGGTACCGCAAAAAAAAGAGACCCAACTTGTTCGCGACTGCGGTCTCAAACAGTATGAAGTCCAGAAACTCGATTCGTTGCGGCCTGCGACACCCTTTGAGCAGAGAAGCGGATTCGGACGTGGAGTAAGTGAGAAAATGGACTTCAGCGGCCGGCCCCAAGTGAAGAGATTGACGTCTCAAAATCAACTTTCGTGGTTGGGTGTTCTGCTGTTAAACCGCCATTCAAGGGAAACTTTCGGGATGTCACTGAGATGCACCTGGATTACTCAGTCTGATTTCATCGGGGGGTGCAACTCAAAGAGTGAGAAGCAAATCCCATGTGAAATGGGTTGCATCCGGGATATGTTCATGGTGGGTTCCCTTTTCCTTTGGATATCTCTAGGGAAGGACCCATAGTTACACCCCCCCCCAGCCCATCCAGTTGGCCCTAATCGCTCTCCTCGGATTTACTTTGGAGGGTCTTTCTGAATCAAGGGGCTCGGGGTGACTTATAACCTGCTGATGGACGAACCCAATTCACACCGTTCAGAAACCCAACAGAATTTCCATTCATGGAAATACCCAGGTTTCGATCTGAACGGTGGTCCGAAATGGATTTGGCAACCATCCACAGTGGATGTGGCGAAACGGATTTGGCAGCTCCGGCTATGATTTACTGTGTGTGTACACTTCTCTTGCCTTGTCAAGAAGGTTCGGATCAATCAGCTACCCTCTGTCAGGCGAATCCAGGCTGCCAGCAGTGAAGCTTCTTCCCTCACGGGCAAGAGGGCTCAACCGCTCTTTTCAGCCAAGCCTCAAAAACAAACACGCAACAACTTGCAAATAACGGGCCTCGGTCTCTGATTTTGATTTCCAGTTTGACCCGTCCGACGTCTTTTCAAAACCGATTCTCCTTCATCTTGGTGAGCACAAAGGCGCCGATCTGGCTCGGCGCATACTTCTCACCCGCCGCCTCAAGCGGGCAGTCTTTTTTGGCACTGGAGGGATACGCGCGCTTCCAGGAAGTACTTGTTGGGGACCCGTGTTTTCGTGGTATTAAAGGAAACTGAA